TGCGACGACAGGCATCGCGCCTTTTTCTGAATCAACTTCTTCTTCTTCTTCTTCTGCGTTCGACATCAGTCATGCTAAACATTGAGTCCCGTCTGGGTCACAAATAGGATTGTGCGTTTAAGGTCGCCACCGGTCCCCCCATTGCTTCTATTTCAATGTGGCTCCCTTGGGCCAGATCCACAGTCTTTGCTGGGAGAGATAAGGGCAGTACTGTAGTATGTGCCCAGGGGTCTGTCTTTCTGCTCCACAATCACAGGCAGCAGATTTTTGTATGCCTATCCTGTACAGGTGTGCTCGAAGACCACAGTGTCCAGTCCGAAGTCTAAAAATTGTTGTGTGTTCTTTCCTGTTGAGTTTGTTTATGCTGTCACTCTCTGGTCTGTAATCTCCATTCTGCCTTCTCCACTCCTGCTTGAAAGACTGCTTTAGCGCTGTTTTGGTTTCCTTGTAGCTGTGTGGTGGACGAGGTTGTTGAAGATTACTCCCAGCTTTTGCCAACTCATCTGATCTCTCGTTTCCTTGAATACCACAGTGGGCTGTTATCCACTGCAAGACCAGTTCTGCTTCCTTGGAGAGTAAGCCAATGTTGGTCCTTAGATCTGCAATTAGTTTGTCTTGTTTTTTGCTTGATAGTGCTTGGAGAACAGACAATGAGTCACTAAGTATAACAATTTTTTGCCCTCTGTGTTCTTGATTGATAAGATGTTGGACTGCAGAAAAGAGGGCAGTTGCCTCAGCTCTGAAGTTCGTTCTGAATCAACAATTCACAACACCACGTTGGTCACAGTCGAAAATACATTTCAAATGAAATCAGCAGCTCACAATGTCACGCCATGCATTCAACTCAGAAGCTGGGCGACGAAAATATATCCAGTCTACAAATGGAACAAAACTGCAACGGCCACCGTCCTGCAGAAGCAGAAAATTAGCCTCGGCTTCAAACAGTGCCCCTGCCTAGCGTCCATTTTGACCGTCCGTCAGTCTAGACAGGGGTGAAGATGTGGAAGAGGGGAGGCGCACTACTCTTTAACTAATTTGAGGATTTCTGAAACAGGTTGTGTCGGGTTAAAATATATCACATTCTAACTGTAAACCACAACACAAAGTGCTAAATACCCCTTTCAGGACGAATGAAGAAGAAGAGGAAGAAGAAGAAGAAAAAGAAGAGGAAGAAGAAAAAGAAGAAGAAGAAAAAGAAGAAGAAGAAGAAGAAGAAGAAGAAGAAGAAGAAGAAGAAGAAGAAGAAGAAGAAATTGCCCATTTTCAAATGCCGACTGCTGCAATTGTTGACAATTAGTCATCCTTTATGTAGAGCACACGTTATTCTTAGATGTCCTATCTGCTACAGATTTCACGGCGTGTTAGGTTCAACAAGTAGAGCACGTCGTAGTTATGTCAGCCACCCACTAACCTGGAGGCGGTCGTTAAAATATTGAGATGAACAAATCTTTATCAGGATTTCAATCTAAAAATCTTCTCTCAGAATTACATCCCGGCAGTTCAGTGGGATGTAACGGGAGTCTAGTCATAAAGATATGGATGCATTACTTATTCTTACACACAACACACCCGACTAAGCGTTACACAATCACTGGTGAACGTTTTATGTATATTTCAGATGCGCTGTCATCTGATGGTTTAAGATGGTTGAACCCAAAAAAAGAAATTGGATGAGGAGAGAGCTTAGAAAGAATCGATAGAAAGAATTTCAATACCCTAAAATTTAGGTAGCTGCTAAATGGCCCCTCTTTTATTTATCGAAATTCTCTTGAAAAGTGCTGTATTTATTCCTACTTTTTATAATATTTCAGTATACTGTTATATCTATTTCTCTTCCGTTAATTATTACTATTATACCTCTAAGACAGGATTATGCCGCATGGGCACCTAACTATTGAACGGGGTTTCTGTGACTTGTACCCGGGTGTTTCTCATCCGAATGTTGACACTTTGTGTCGTTTGGTGTTTATCACTCCTTGTGCGGTCATAGGCACGTTCTCGTTATCACGGAAAACGGCAGTTATCTTCTCGGTAATTGTAATAGGGGAGCGACCGAAGAGCTAGTGTAATCAATAACAAGCCCTCTTGACATTCCCCGTCACTCTCTCAAGCAGGAAGTGGTCTCTCACATCGAGACTTCCGTTGTTGTTATTTTGGCTGCTGTGCTCTGGGCCTCTGGCTGGACGGTCTAGTCGTGTCGGGGTAAGGTTCTAAAATAAATATCTATTTCAGGCATGTGAGGAGATTGTTTTGTGACTAGTATAGAGTGGTTGTAGTAATATATATCTTCGCTATAGGGGGTTAGTAAAACTAGTTTTAGTATCTAGAGAATATGAAAACACTTTATTTTTAATTTTGTAAAATATATTAATTAAATTAATAATAATATTAATAATATTATTATATCATATCATATATGATGTATTGGCTGGTATCGATAGCCGACCACCATGCAGGACCAATCCAATAGCAAACTATTATTATACGTAAAAAAATTTACACAAAATGCTGTGGTGTGTCTTGTAATTAACACTCTTACCTGCCCAGGCTACGCTACACTGCATTTTATTTCGGTTTTCTAACACTAACAGCAGTATATGACCCTGCTATGGTTAATGATTAACTTGATAATATGTATATGTCTGAAAACCCTATATCATCTATTTCCACGCATTGATAATATAATATAGTTTTTGATGTCCTTATTCAGAAAGAAAAGATGAAAAAAGAGCTGAGTTTTCAACTGTAAAAATAAATAAAGCCTTTAAATTAAATCACATTACAGCATGTGGTGTACATTGTGACTATTTGGAAATTCAAGATTCTGAAACAAAATGTTTGCTATCAATTTGTGTTGTTATAGTTATTCTTTAAAATATAAAATCTTATCTAACATTAATATATTATATACATACTAAGCTGAAGTATACTTCTTTTTCTTAGTCTATGCTGTGTGGCGTTGGTAGTCATGTCTATTCATAAGCTTTTGACACCTTTGTCACTTGTACTTTTAAGCAACTCTGACACAGATGACCTTCCATACTATGATATCAGACTGTCAGCGCATTTGTTCTCTGCCTCTTCTCCCCTTCACATTTTATACCATCATGGTGTACTCCAGTTTTCTCCTTCTCATTACATGACCCACAAAAGTAGATGCTCTCCTTCTGATGTGGGCAATCAGTTCTCTTCATGAGCCAGTTTTTTTCAAGATGTCTTCATAACTCTTTTTAACTGTCCAGGGTATTCTCACCATTCGTCTATAAAACACATCTCTGCAGTTTCTAAATAAGTTTTCACTAGTTTACCAAGTGTCCATGATTCACCAGAGGCAAAGCTTATTGTCTTTTCTTGCATTCACTGCTGTTGTATTGTGATTTGCAGCAGAGGTGTGATATCTGCACCTTTTGGTCATAAGTTTTCTGCCTGTTTCAACACATCTTTAGGGCACAGTGGATCTGATTTTTTCAACCCCTACCTGTGGGTAGTGGGTCAGTTACCCAGTAGTCCACACACACCCCTTTCCCCTGTTACATTAAACACACCCAGGGAAGCGTAATATTATATTAGTTCTCTGTGTCTGTTATAAATGGAGATGTTACTTATTAATATTTGCTTTTATGAATTAATTGGTCATTTAAACCTAGTTGTTAAGAGATAGAGATTAATATCAGCCTGGTGAATTAAAAACAGTGCGATGCCACACCTACCTCCATCTGTATAAGCGTTGTTGCAATCCTTTACTTGGTTTATGTGTTCAGCACCATGCCAGCCACCTTTACTTCCACGATCATTACCTGGTTCCTATTCTTGGCTGGGTCAACATCGAAGCTACAGATGCTGATTCAAAGATTGATTCTCTAGAGTGCAGGTATGCAGCCACCTCACCGTCCCTATGCTGTCTGTGAATTAGTTTGAAATTTAAAAACAAAATACGTGCTGATGTATCATTTATAGGAATAGGTCAAGTGACATCTGAACAATAAATGTTGGCTGTAGTTTTTCTCCATAAATATTTCTTGCCCTGATTGTAGTCACTGAGTGTATTGTATGTCTGTCTCTAGTTATCCTCCCACTTATGTTGCTTACAGCCTCTTACTCATTTACCTCACTTTCCCATTCTGTAGTTTGAGAATTGTCTTTTAATAAAGCTGAAATATTGCATTTGCTTTTAAGGTCCCAACTTCCTTTGTATTCCCAGCCTCGATAGAAAATGTATTTTATCGTCTTTTTCTTGTCTGGATTCTGGGACACCTTATTTCTTGTTGGTGGGGGGGGGGGGGAGGGGGCGACTGTCTCTTAACAAGTGTGCCGTAATGGGTGTGACTAATTTGCAATAATAAGGTGTTAGGTCAAAAGTCATAGATATTGCAGCCTAGTGGTAATAACAGTGCAGCATGTTAACCACCCTTTTGAAGGTGAATGGTATATGATTGTCTTCTTCTGTTAATTCACTAAGGACCTAGTTTGATCAAAGTAAATCCAGGCTGAATCAGGTGCCACACTGTGATATTTTCTGTTAAAGTCCTTTTTTTTAAAGCAAAATAAAATGAACATAATGAATACAGTTGATGCAGCTTACATTAAACACCATAGCCTGAAGCTGTGAACACACACACACTGCCAAATAAATAAGCAGACGCATAGAAATGTCAAGCCTGAGGATGTAAGTTAACATGTGGGCATTCATTTGGTGCACATTGAAAGGTCAAACACTCGCCAAAATACAACACCCTATATAGATGTATAGTTAAAAAAAACTTTGCTTGTGTGCCAAAAATAGTGAGATTTGAATAACTCTTACAGTCTCAGGAAGTTACAGTAGCTGTCAAATGGGAGCAGAATAATAGCAAACCAGATTGGAGCAAAATCACAGCAGCAACAAAATTCACAGTAGTTTTAGAATGTCAAATACACACATTGTGAACTTTGCAAGTCATTGCATTAATTAATTGTAACTTGTTTAATTCAAGGTGAATCTAATGCGGCTGTAGTTTACAATGGGAGCCTGTTACTCAAAGAACCCAACAGGAACCAGAACAGCACCTGAAAGCAAGACATCAAAACAAAAACATAAACACTCTGACCGAAAAAAAAAACTGACCACTGAAGAATTACCACCAGAGAAGATTCCTCTTCAGAATGATGAAAAATCGGATTCACCAAACACCAAAACATCAAGATCATTTAGTTACGATATTGTTCCTGACATTTCATACGTGAAACATCTTGACCACAGCATTGCTCCATCTGATAGTGGTATCGAGAGTATAGGGACTTGGCAAGATGATGTTCAAGGATCTACACGAATAAAACAGTTTGACAGTGACCTCCTGAAACATTCAGAGCTGTGGAGTCTTAGTTTCTGTCATAATTGTGGTCACTACAAACTCCAAGGCCACAATGGGTTAACGGACGGTAATATTTTGTGTTGTGCTGATCAGACAGAAATGCCTGCAGGAAGTTCTGAATTGGTAACTCATAGATTGCCAGCCAATGAGACAACATTAACAGTCAGTAATACAGAATGTGACTCAACTGCTAAAGTGATCGCTGACAACGCTAAATATTGTGCCATTAGAGACAGTGTGAGTGATGTGTCGCAAAATAAAACCAGTTCTTGCCACTTGAAGTCAGATTCAGACATGCCGAATTTAGTTGGCAGAGACAGACATCTTATAGCCTCTGTAAGGTCAGCAAGAAGGTTATCAAGGATTACAAGTGGAAGCAAACTTTATGATTCATCTGACGAGGTCAATGAAACAAAGGCACCATTGGCGCAGCAAGACCCCTTAGACAGACCAGTAGGTGACAACTTAGTGGATATAATTTCCACACAACAAACCTTACTCAGTGATATCTCCTTGACTGCTGAGACAATTTGTACCTGTGACTATGATTCAGATTACCAGAAGAGATATCCTGCATCTTCAGAAGACACTGGCTGTGTTGTAAAACCCACTTTTCACAATATAAATGTTGAAGAGAAAGATGATTTGAATCATGATGAAGGTAAATCTTCTGGTTTGTCTGGAGATGGTTCCTTCGTTTGTCATAATGAGATCAAGACCAAATCAGCAGCACAGTTATCAAGCCCGGCTGTATCAACACCAATTAAAAAATCAACAGAAATAAATGCAACCAATTGCAGATCAAGTTTCTCAGAGTCAACATCTGGGGTGTGTACCTACAGAACAGCTTCAGAATCATTATCTACAGGGGAACAAGGTAACTAGAACATCTTTCCTGGCATGCACATGATTAAAATATGTTATTTTTACAGTTTACCCAGGTTGATCAATGTAAGTAAATTATATTACATCATGATTAAATGCAGGTTTTGATATGTTAAGCTAATTAATGCATTGCTGTGCCCCAATCTCTTTCATCGACTCTTGCACTACTGTCTGATGATCAATAAAAATGTTTTTTTTTTTTAACCTTTCCCTGCAGGTTGAGAATCATGAAATTGTTAAATGCTTTTAATAACCTCTAAGCCACAGGACCACACAGAGTTAAGCACATACTGTTACCTGTATGGCTATAAATGGAGTATAATATACTAATTTCCTCCCCCTCCTGTTTTTTTTTTTCATGCACACATTTCTGTAAGCAATGCTGACTTCATAGAACTAGAGTCATCCTCATGTCTGCTTAAGACAGGCATGTTAAAATATGGAGGATCACTGACAAACAAACAAAACTTTAGAGCTAAGAATTAGACATTGGCCATTCTGGCCTCATGTCTTTTCTGCATCATTCATCCATACAACTTTTACTCCCTGTGTTTATTGTTATTCTGTTGCTCCTTTCTGTAAAAAGAATTTCCAGAAATAATATACTCTATTTTTTTGTAATCAGCTTACATTGCTGACACTGCACATTCTCTCTCTCTCTCTCTCTCTCTCTCTCTCTCTCTCTCTCTCTCTCTCTCTCTCTCTCTCTCTCTCTCTCTCTCTCTCTCTCTCTCTCCCCCCCCCAATCACCAAGGTATGGGGAGAAGTCAAGGCACTCTCCCAAATACAGGTCCCAAATTTACTGCAAAAAACATCCCTTTGAGAGCCTCAAGAGATTATGCAGTAAAAACATTTGGCTATCATCATCAGTTTTCACTTCTGTGGTTATTGCTCGATGAATAGCAGTGATTAGACGTTAAGCTAAGCGCTGTGGAGGAGGAATAGTTTCTGTTCAATTGAGGCGCCGCTTAGCACTCCTTGACAATCCCAGAACACTGTGAACACCCATGATTGGTCCCCAGTAATAATCCTGTTCTGTTACTCGCCTGTCATCTCTGATCATCTCCTGCACGGATGCGTCTGTTGCAGTCTCAGCAGGATGACCAGATCAGACTTCGTCAATTTGAGAGCGCCTTTGAGAATTTTTTTTTTAAAGCCCGTCTAGGTGCCGCTTTACGGGAAGCATTTCCTTATAAATGTCTTTTGCAGATTTCCCCTCCCCACAAAAAACAACCCTGCACAGCAGCACGTTGTTCTTTGAGGGTACAGTTGCCATTTTGTTTTGGTGTTGCGAATCCTCATGCAACACCTAGCGCCGCCTAATGAACGGAGACACAATAAAGTTTGATGTTACTGACACCTAATGAAACCTTTAAAAACAACCAACTACATTTTTCTGCCATCCCATAACCATTTGTGACTTAGTTATTGACTTCTAGCCATGTAAAGAAATATGATTTATGAAGGGAGTAATCAATAAGCATGAACGGACTAAAGCCTTAGATGGAATAGTTCCTAACCTTTAGCACCCCACAATAAAAATTCAAATTATTTCCCTTGCCTCCCACCTTATTCTTTCACATTTCGCGTTTTTTATGGAAAAATGTAAAAAAAAACAGTACAAACATAAAGACTCACCAATTAGTTATGCAGCTCCTCGTATTCCTTATCCGAAGAATCTGACACACTGGAAACAGAACTACCTTCACTTACGTCTCCAGACATATCAACTTCGCGACTGATATAGGCTGCAGTAACACCCAAAATGTCAGAGTCAGAATCCATGAAGATTTCAGAATAAATGGCTTCCATTTTGAAGGATGGTGATGGATATCGAACTGGCTGAGAAAAATTGATCACACAAACCTACTCTCGGCCAGCACAGGAAGTGAAACCACTCTAGATGAGTTATTTATAGTTTTCGAGTGACGTCACACGCGTAGCTCCGTTTAGGCTTCGTATTCTTCAACCATATATAGATGTCGAATATACTCGACTGTGGGACGCTACGAGGTGGGTGGCGGAAGTCCAGTATACTCGACTGTGGGGTGCTAAAGGCTAATAATCTAACAAAGCATATGTATCTGGTCTCATTTTATGACCCACTGACCTGTATCATTTAGGCTTATGGGAAGATCTACGCCAACTTGGCTTTGAAAAAGCCAGTGGATCTAAATCCCCAAATTATATTTTAGTTAATTTAAGTGTGCTTATCCTGTTCTACTAAATGTTTGCACAAATACAGAAAAAGTCAGTAGCATTAACTCATTATCAGATCATTATAAACATGTTGTAAAAGTAACATTTATCCGGAATAGGACACAGATGGAAGTGTCAATTTTGCGTCTTCTCAGGGTGAAAGGGTTAACCTGCCAGTTGATCATAAGTTTTTTAAATACATTTTTGTTGTTGTTGATATTACACGTAGATTAATACATTTAATGCTTGCTTATACTCTAGATATGCAGCAGCGCTCGGTCTTACTTGGTAACACTCCAGAAGTGTTGGATGACCCCAGCAGTGAGTGTGGAGAGTATGGTACAGAGGATGACATGACAAGCATTGATATGGACAAAAGCAGCAGACTTACCCCTCAGTCCAGTAGCAGCTTCAGGTTAGTCTCTTCTACCATAATCTTTATTGATATTATAATTTTAGTTTTGTTTATCTAGAGATATTGGTAAGTATCTGATAAATGTCATACTCAGTGGCCAGAGGTAGGAGAAGTTACTCCTTAGGGCTCAACTTTATATAGCCACTGTACTTTAAAATAGGTTGAGAGGTGGCTTATTGTTTTATATTGCATGGTGTTAAACTTTCTCTGTGAGTATGAAATTTTTTTTTAATGTGTCATAGTATAGTTGTGAGAGCTGGACACTCATCGCTGATTCAGATCAAAAGATCCAGGTTTTTCAATTTTAAAAAGTATCATTGTGGTGAAAACAAGAATAGACCCACTGCTTCCCCAACAATCGTGTCATAAAAGTCTTCGAAGTTGGCGTGTATCTGCCTAAGTGGTAAGAAACAACCAGCTGCACACAAACAATAAGCCAGTAAAAAGTATGTACATGCAAAACTGAGCTCCTGGCACAAAGCCAAAGTCCAAATGGACAAACAACTAGGACTTTCTGCCAGAGATTACAGCTGGCCAACAAAGAAGAAGAATATACATTTGATTTAAAATTTCAAAGAAAGTTTACACGTTGCCTGCAAAGAACACGGAATCAATAATTGAGTCAGAGGCATTAACCATATGCACAGCCATTAAATTTAACCTTCATTGGCCGTGAAGCATAGAAAGCTTAGCAAAGCGCTCATTTTGAACCCTCTTCTAAAACATTTATGTAGAGAGCAGGTGAAGTTAAATAGAAAAGAGGAAGGTTTTTACTAAGGACACTTATTTAGTTATCATAGTGTGACATCATGTTCCAGCTGCCATACTTATGTTGTTTGTCTATCGTGAGTGACGAAGACTACTTTTAATCTAAAGTAATGATCAGTGATTATAGTTGGATGAAAGTGAATTGCACAAGGACTTGGATTTAAGTGTGGAAGAGTTGCACAATTCGTCTGCCTAACTCTCTCGTCTGTGTCCACCTTGATCCAATGGCAGGACAATGTCGAGACAATTAGAAATGAACTTAGGTGCAGGGGATTACCAAGGCGTCTTAAGTACCCTGCCTTGCTCAAAACTCTCCCCAGAGCCTGCTTGTAATCACCTTCTTGTCCGCTAAAAAGAGGTTTCATCCACACAGTCCACCGAGTCCAATCATTGCATGCAGGGTAGGCATATCCCAACCACCTAGTGGTTAAAAACCAGGTCAGCTACCCTCTCCTGGTTTAGCCAGCCCGTCAAAGCTGTTGCCCGGTGGGTGGCCGCTGTCGCATGCTGATAGCTGCTGAGAGCCATAGTGGAGAGCTGAGTTCCAGACCTAGCCCAATGGTGGTGAACTGCCCTAAGAAGGACATGACTGTCACCTTGCCAGAGTTACTGCTAGTATCTGACACCCCAGGGTCATATCATACTTATCACAGGTGTCACCAAGGGCATGGTATATCACAAGTATAAATCCACCACAGCATATCTTTGCCTGTATGGGTCATTGATAATTATCAGCAATAAAGGACTCTTTCTAACATGCCAGTGACCCATGATGTAGTCTGTGTGTTAACCCTTCAAGATGCAGTACATCTCTCATCTCTCCTTCCACATCCCGATGTTCTGATTGTAGTACTCTAGGGCTGGTACATATCCCAAAAGTGCACATATGACATTGTGCTTCACTACTCACCAAATTTGGCACACCCAGTGCAGGTGTGACATGACTCCTCATCCACCACACCCTGCACCTAGTGCAAGCATTAGATCATTGTTCAGCCAAAAATACCTATGACTCTTGGCACCTAGTAACTGCAGTCAGGTTATCAAAAAAGCTGAATAACTTGAGGGGTGAATATGAGAGCACCTGAAAAATGTACACTTGTTTTCCTGTTTTGCATTGATGCACGCGGAAGGTGCATGACAGAGCTGATATCATCAATGCTGTATGGACTAGGACTAGGGTGGTAGTTAATGACAAATCTCTGATAACATGAATATATAACTTCAGAGTGAAGCTTAGTGAAACATGCCAGTGCTGTCTTCACGTTCAAGACATTGTAATCAAATTCTGATGGGTACAATCAATAGAGCTACCTAGGGTAGTTGTTGTATCAGAGGACTGAGCCAGAAATGAAATGCCTTGTGTGGTGGCATTGATTGTAGTATTTTTTTTCCAGTGCATACATTGTCTTATTCTTATATGATGCAGTTTGACCACCTCTTTTATTTTAATTCCATATGTTACAGACAACTCGGTGCAAGCTCAGAACATGCTGCGTCACCATATGACAATAACCTCATGGTTAGTTATGATGGAGAAGAATGTGTTGTGATTCCGGAAGAGACCTACCATCAGTTGCAGACCGACTTAACTGCTCTCAGGCAGCAGCTGCTTTGTTTGTCATCTCTAATAGAGGTTTGTCATTAGAATTGAGAAAAATTGCTTGCATATGCAGAATTTCATAAACTGTATTTACTATAACATTTATGTACCAGATGTTGTATAGGAAGTATTTGATTGCAGTTATAATCTGCCATGCTCAATGCCAAAGACATCCACTAGAAACTGGTGCTTTATTAATTTCCTAACCTTAATGACGTCACAGGACATTCCAACATTGGGGGGTGGGGGGTGTTTAAGACTTAGTTTCCTAGCTTATTGATACTTTTAACAATCCCAAAACATCTAGAACTGCCCCTAACCCCAACCCACCTACATCCCACAAGAGAGTGCAGTCTAGGTCACACGATTGCATGCAGCCCATCTACCACCCCCTGAAATATTAGACTGTCCCGTGAACTGTGGATTTTCCCTGTTTGGGGGTAGGATATTAATAAAGCACCGAAACTGTAAGCATAATGTTGAGAGAGGCCAAAAGTGCTCGACTAGATTCCATCCATGTTATCAAAATGATTGTATAGGATACAAAAGAATGAACGGACAAGCTATTTTTAAAGGCTCACTAATTGGGCATGCTTGCCCGTCTCACTTTCAGTTCTTCCAAACACCCCTCTCTCACACAACAGTTATTTTATCAGTAAAGCATGTTATGTTCGAATAAAATACATCTTATGAATATCAAGAAAAAAAACATACAGATGGGTGGTAAGATGCATGCGCACACTTACGCGCGACATGTACGCCCACTCACTTAATAACCCACACACACATGCTTACCCACATACACACCCCCATACCTACAAACATACATCATGCATCCTTGCATACAGACTGTCACATACACATACATGCATACGGACAGTCACACATAAAAACATACACACACACAAACATATACATACATACAGGCATACATATATATATATATATATACATACATACAAGCCTGTTAGCCCTAAGTGATATATGTATAACGACACAAGAGAGAAATCCCACAAGTGATTTTCTTTCCTATGTTTTTTGTTTCCAGAAAAGTTAAATTAAAGGCCTTCTGTGCTGATTCATCCAGTATTGTCTCCCTTTGTGAGCCAGTCAGTAACTTTTCCTGCATGTGAGAATATTCTCCAGGCTTCTCAAATTGTGTCCGAAAGTAACAAGTTCCCTTGTCCTTATGTGGCAGTTTTTGTTTTTCCAGTGTGTGGGAATACCAGTCTGTTAAGTTGTGTCCTTGTTGAACAAGTGTGTGGGAATACCAACCAGTCTGAGACATTGTGTCTTTGTTGAACCATTGTGTGGGAATACCAACCAGTCTGAGACGTTGTGTCCTTGTTGAACCAGTGTTGTGTGAATACCAACCAGTCTAAAATGTTGTGTCCTTGTTAAATCAGTATGTTTGAATACTGAATGTCAACTGTCAGCGTGAGTGTTGAAAAGCTTGAGTCAGCGCTGAGCTAGCTATACAGCATGTAGCCTCTGTACTTCAAGCAGGTCATGATAATTTTAAAATGGTCCTATACTTTTTACCACATAATAATTGCCCTGTAAACAAATTTTTTTTTTTAGATATCAATATTTTTAACCTTTGTTGTTTCTTCCACAGCAGTCTGAGAGTGAAGACCAAAACATCGACAGCATGGCAAATATTTCATAATAATTTATATTCCTTTTTGCTTGTATGTTTTACATTCCAGATAATAATATTTATTTGCTTTATGATGAGGGCAGTTTATTTATTTACTTCCTGGTGAGATGTCAACAGTTTCTTTAATCATATCATTTTTTCCCCTTATGCTATTTGATTTTTAGTGGTATACACACCTATGTTTAAAAGACCCCATTTAAATGGATGTTCAGATCTTCTGTTAGCAAAAGAAGAAAATAATAAAATCAATCAGAAAGCAACCAAAACCGGCACAAGACGATTACCGTTTTATTGATAGACCAGAGCAAGTTATTCTAGGCTTTAGAACAGGACCAATCAACTTTGCAGCCACAGGTACACAAAATTTGAAATAGGCGAATCAGCCATGTGTACATGTGGACTGGCACCTGAGACAACAGATTATGTCCTCTAAGACTGTTCCAAATACAAAATATCAAGGCAAAACTTTTGGCAAAGAGAAACATCAGTGTAAGTGAAACTTTACGGGTCGCTGAATGAATTACAAAAGACAGTTAAGTTCATACTAGAGACAACATTGCAGATATAGATAATTTGTTTCACACAAGAAGAAGATGGATGTTTAGAAGCGGTAGATAAAATCTGGAGTCTAATCAGATGGATTTGTGATAACTATACAAGAACTGCTGTACAGTAGTCAGTAGTAAGGTTTCAGCTCCACTGCAAATGTGTCATCTCATAATTGCTTGTTTTTGCAATATCAGCCTGATGTTCCCATTCTTGTTTGTCCATTAAAATGAGGTTTAAGTGCAGATTTACTGGACATTGTAACTATTAGTCTGTTTTATTGTTTTCATTTGCTCAGGGAACTGCGTGGTCTCGAGGCATGACACCCGCCTTGAGTGCTGGAGGTCCTGTGTTCAAGCCCCGGTGAAAGCTGGGATTTTTCTTGTTGACCTAGTAATTTCCCCTGGTTTCTGAGTAGTAAGATTAGACACCTGTGTGCAGTTGAAAATTTAAAAAGAAAGTAGCTTAACAACGCTGCCTGGCAAAATTTGGAGTTTAAAAAATCTACCCAAAGTATTTCAGGGTCCTCTCCGGTGCTACAGAGTTTGTGTACTGCACTGAGATTCTTTGTACTCAGGTTTGCATCAGAAGTAGAACCGAGCACTTATGGGTTACTACCCTTGTGTAATGATGTTGATCTGTCATTTTAAACCATTTGCTCACGCAGTCTGCGTGTATGTTCATTTTAATACAGGATACCTTGAAACTTCATTACCATAGTCAGTCAAGAAAACCCAACGAGAACCAAACATGTGATCATTCAATATAAGGTTTTCAGTTACTGGATATATTCTTGGTTTTTACAAGTCTTGCTGACAAGACAAAAATGTACTTATGGTTTATGTCTGTTCTTAATAACATTGCACAGTTGTGCAAAGGATGTTTGGATATGACAGTTCTTTGGTTTATCTTTGGGTCACATGGCAGAATATACTGCCTAACGTACTTACTGAAAATGGTTTACCTATTTCATTTTTACATGTTAATTAAATTTGGAAATTATTTGAATGTGGGCTTTCTTAGAAACTATGAAGTGTTCAGTTTTGTTGTTTTTAATGTGTGTATGTACTCAGTCTATAGTATATTACTGAAACAACTTATAAAGAGACTGAATTATCTTGAGAAAATGCTAGTCTCCTGTACAAACAATAAACATGTGAGCAATTTTTAGGAAAAAACTCAGGATGGGTTTGCATTTGAAGGGTTACCATGGTGAAGTAGTTAAACTGTCTACCTTGTGCTTTGAAGGCTAGTGCAGTACATATCCCTGGTGTCAATTACTAGAGCTATGAATGTTTTTGCTTCGTATGATGATCTTAGCAGATGAACAACTGTTTTGCAGGAAGATACCTAGCCATATGGGGAAAACCCGGTGCAGGAAAGTTGATTTTTTTTTGCTTCTAAAACACCCTTCAGTTTTGCAGTTAATAAACATGTTGGCTTAATTTATACCAGAATGAATAATTGACATTCCAGTCCAACACGCTGAGACCTTATTTAAAAGTTGTCTTTCTTTTGTCTCTTGCTAATTTGTTTCTGAAATGTAAGTTGCATGAGTTTGGATTAATTTAATTTAATCTAATTAAATGTATCTTTGCAATCCTTTTTTCTGTGTGTGTGTTTATGAGTGAGCAGTGTTTCTAGATAATTTTCGACACTGAAGGGAACACATGGGCACACTTTTAATCAGGTTGCAACTGGCACAGTTAACATGGAACTCTTCGCTAGCTACTGAGGAAAGGAAAGGCACGGACACAGCGATGTTAACTCTTCATAACGTAAAAAAAAAAAAGGATTAATTTGCACTTACATGAAAGTAAATATTAATTTAAACATTGTCTTGATGGGTGCCGGTGAAAAATGCAACCCTCTATTACACTACTCAAATACTATTCTTTCTTAAACTGTTTCCATTGTATTCTGCTTTGCTTTTTTTCCCATACCAAACTTGTGTAGTTTTGTTGGTATTAATTATAATTTTGCTAATTTAATTTTAAATTCTCAAAAACGTTCTCACTTGTTTTCTGTTTTGCATTTATAATCAGTGCCAAACAGTTCACACTGCAGCATACATCATTCAGAAGATCCACTATGTAATAAGTATAGTGCACCAAGTTCACATTACTTTGCATCATTCACAAGGACCAGATAATTTGACAAGGTCCACTGTTAGTGTTATCATTTGCTAAATAAAAAGGTTCTCATCGTAACCTGTGGTGAAGTTTGTGTTTAATAACAAATTGTTTCATTACTTCCTTTTTTTTCTTTTTTCTTTTCACAAGTAATTTTTTTCAAAATTAAAACCAGCCTTTTAAAAAAAAAGTAGAAATTAATATTTACCAAATTGTGGTTGCTGGTTTCTGTTGCTTTGATGTTATCAATAAAATTTTTTTTTTTTAAATATTCCTATGAGATTTTGATTTCTGAAAGTGTCCAGATCATTTGTATTTTTGTAAAAAAAAAAAAAAATAATTTGTGTTATTTACATGTATACCAAAGTTCGAAGTCATCTGCAAGCAATGTGATATAACTAACCACTTGGGCATCGTACCATTCTGCAAGTAGTGACCAACTACTGAATGTTATACTGCATAGTAAAACCACAAACATGCAGTAAGTTCTGGATATAGTTTATGATGTCCTTTAAAAAAAAATATGCAATTAACTTTACTTAAATCTTTTTGAGATAACAGTAGAATATCTAGTAAGATCATGAAGATGTTTGTTAAATGGCCATGTTTATTTTTTCCCATTAAAACTAAATGAACCCAGAATTGTCTAGTTATGTAAAGTACACTATTGTGTTTTATAGCATGAATTATTTGATTGAGAGAACTGTTGTTTTCTATGGAAGTATGAGGGGACATCAGTAAGTAAGTCACAAATGATTGCTTTTAAAAAACCCCGTTGTACATTTGTGCACATACACTGTCCTTTTATTTTTCAACGCAATTTCCACCAACATTGATGCACTTGTTCCAACGTTTTATCAGTCCTCCCAAACCTGCTGCATAAAACTGAGAGCTTTGTTTTCTAAGCCACATTTTCACGTCACTTTCAACTTCTGTGTCATTCATGAAATGACTCCTGCCAAGGTGGGTTTTCATTGACCCAAAAATTTCAGTTGGTCATGCATTATGTTGTATGCTGAACCATATGAGCATCCTATTGCAGCTGCTAGAGTCAACTGTTACTTGCCTGTCACCTCTAATCATCTCCTCTTTGCTGTCATTTGATGACAACTTTAGAAACCATTAGCTACATTTCCTGCTATACCAAAACCATTTGTGACCTACCTATTGATCTCCTCTTATATTTGTTTATGTAATAATCGTAGCATATTTTCTGTTGATATATTTAAACATAATATTCCAGAAATTGTACATGTGGAAGTTGGTTAGTGCACATAAGTAATGATATTAATTACCACTCGTTATCCAGTCATCTCCTTATGAGATGCAATTTTTTGTATTTAAAGCCCTACTCTGACTCTTGCCAGGGGCCGCAATATAGCCCGACCATAAATATGGTCTAATGGTTGAACGTGGTTTTTGGGACCTCTCCACAGTGATCCTTATCCACATGGTGGCACTATGTGTCATCGGGTGTTTATCGATTGTGTGATGTCCTAGTGGGGTAAAAATCTACCACTACTACTATTAATTATATCAGGAAGAGAACACAGTTTAGTTTTGGGTTTTTTCCCTTGTCTTATGTGGCTAAGATGCTAGTGAATGTGTTTAACAATGTCAGGATCATCAGGTAGTAGGGTTTTCCTTGGTAGACGGTTAAATTTATTTTTTGATCGCATGGTTTTTGGACAGCAGTACAACCATTTCTCTGTGCCTCACTGCGTAATATTTTCCAAATTCAGGCAGTGGATGCACTGTAGCGAATCTTCATTGTAGAGACAGCAAACTGTTTTTTTTTAATTCTGTCCAGTTGTTGGATTAGCATATGAAATCTTCTTCCCATTTCACTGGCCGTAAACTCCTGCAGAAAGTTCAGCTTGTTTTTCCACCTCTGAATTTTAGACTTGTTCTAGAACCTGTGTGTTGTGTGCACATCTGTTTAACAGATATGACTTAACTGTATGCAGATTGTTGGTTCCTTGCCTCTCAGGCAGATGCACTCCAACTTTAAAGGATCTTCTGAGATGTAGAGCTGTAATATTTGCTGGCTTCTAACGAGATGGCCACACCACTTAATCTGATCTTTCTTAATGAATCTAGTACAAGGTGTCTTCCCACAATGTGTCTGATAGTATTATTTACTCAATCTTAGATGGTTAGGTTGGTAGCTTTTCTCAGTTATATCATCTCGTAAGTGATGATGATATATATGTGTGTGCGTGGCTTAGGCGTTGCGAGTCGGACTCGTAAATCCAACATACTGTGATCGAAACCCAAAACTGGCTGCTTGGGATTTTATCATGGTATAGGGCGTTGCGGGTCAGCCCTGCC